TGCCAAAATATTCAAAGTATGATGAAGACAAACATAACAAAATATCCATGTAATCTTGCTGACCAACCTGCTCAACGGTTTCCTGAGAATACAAGTTATTTTAAAAAGGTCAACATAAATATGTTGGTGAGTTCATAAGCATGTTTGAGTAAAATGTTTTGTATCGCTTTGTAAACACCAGAAAATCCGATATTTTCTGAAAAATAGTTTGAAATGTTTGTGTCCGATCTTGTATTAATGCATGTGTGTTATTATTTGTGAGAATATAAAGAGAATAACCCCAGCCAACTCGATGTTGTCCGTCTATGAGAATGTTGGAAACTCAACACCTGTGGTTGAGTACCAGCGCGAATATATTACCGTGTTATCAAACAAAAAGATGGTTTCCCGTAAATTTTTATAAAGTTAATTCCTCTATGTTAATTGTTATAACCATACTAGATAATGACAATTTCTCCTGTCTTGGCGTTTTTCGAACGCCGACGGAACAAGGTAAGATTTTTGTCACCCTAGACTGGCTAGTCTAACTGTAGCGAACAACTCAAGTGTGGGGGTGTCACCCCCGTATAGATCTATACACAAACTCCCGCTCTCCCTCCAGGAGACTCTGGTTATAATTACAGGCTACGACTGTACACTCAATATGTGTCAGCCGACACGTCTCACTAGATCCTTAATCGAATTTACTCGAAAAGAAAACATATAAGGTATATTCCAGGCCCAATAAACACGTAAGTGGACAACTAAGACCCACTAAGCATGCAAATTATTTCCAAGCTCAAAAGGAATGAGAATATATATATCACGAACCCAATATACATGTAAAAGGACAACTAAAGCCCATTTAACATGTATATTATTTTCAGGCCCAATAAGGACGTGAATACCGAAATCGAGCCGTGGTTTGTTACGTTGGTTGTTTAAGCTATGTTGTTTACCAAAGTAACATAAAAAGCCCACCTTTTTGTAAAAGGTCATTTTTGGCCTAAAAACCGAAAATTTACAATTGTGGCACATTTTTGGTAAAAATGACAATTTAGGTCCTTTAAGGACAAATTTTGCATTTAGGCTAGTTTTAAGTAGAAATAACATTTTTAACTCACTTTTGTCAAAAATATCATTTTTGGCTTGATTTTATGAAAATGTGCATTTCGGCCCCTTTATAAATAAATTCATCTTTTTGGCCCAAGTTTTAAATAAATTCACATTTTCGGTTCTTCTTATAAAAAATTTACATTTTTGGCACAACTTTGTTGAAAATGAAATTTAAGCCCATAAAAGTCCAAAAATTTACAAACTTGGCCCATAATTTCGTAAAAGCCCAAAAGAAGCCCATTTATGAACTTTTACACTCCTAGCCCTTTTTAAGATCACAAATACCATAAATATTCATATTTATCAAAATACATTCTTTTTGGTCCCTTAAAAACCATGAGTTACACAAAAATACCCCATTTTTGGTTATATTGTCATTTTTGGCCCTCTTATGCAATTTTCTTAGTTTTAAGTAACTTTGATGTATTTTAAAACCTATTCTTTGCATAATAAGTTGAAATAAGTGTTATGTTCTACAAGTATCATCACATTTTAGTACATATTCAAGTTCATGGAGTTTATAACACATAATCACACATATATCATGAAAACACACAAAAAATTATGCATACACACATAGATCTACACAAAACAACTTGTATTCTCCCCCAAAACATAGTAAAAATAAAAAATAGGGGGTATGAACTCACATTGGTTTGAAGATTTCGGTTTTTGGTAGAAGGTTGGAAGAGGTTTCGGCCTAGCACACTCCCTTGAGAGGTTCCTCGAAAAGTATGATGATTCTAGGAGTATAACACAAGATTTAAGATGTTTTGATGAGGACCTAAACATAAATATAAATTTACCCACTTAATAGTGAAGTAACTTATCTAGTAAGTGATCTTGAAATGATCCACCTTGAGCTAATCCACATAAATCACGTTTTTTAGAGAGAAAAGGGGAGGATTTTTTTTCCTTGAGAGACTAGAGAGAATTTCTTAGAGAGTTTGAAGTGGGAATAAAGATGGTGGTGAGTTGCTTAGGCCGAGAATAAGAAGAAGAGAGAAGAGAAGAGGGTAATGAGATGTGATGGTTGCATGGATACTTGAGATTGCCTTGATATTTGATGGTTAATTACATGGAAATCCTCAAGATAAACATGAGGTGTCAAACCTTAATTAATCCCATCTTTTTCCCTTTTTTTTTAGTGTGGGTCATGAATGAGGAGGAAGGAAGAGAAAAAGAAGTGTTTGGGCCTATATTGAACATATTCGAAATCTTTGGCCCAATATGAAGGTTCTCGGCCCATTGGGCCCTTCTTATGGGTTTACGGCCCAAAAGGTGGTGAAGGGATGGGGTTTACGGCCCAAAAATGAGGAAGGAATGGGGTTTATGGCCCAATAGGGCTTGTGAACCCATTTACGGCCCATTCGGCCCATGATAATAAAGTGAGTTACTTTAGGCCCAACATGGCCCAAATGCTATGGTTTGATGAATGTGGGTCTAATTAGAGCCCAAATGGGGTTCCTTGGCCCAAAATAATCAAATGAAAAGTTTACTGGCCCATTAGGCCCAGTAAGAGGATCCTGGTCCATACTGAGTTTGAACCGAAATATTAGGGTTTCAAACCCACAATTGAGTATCTGAGATGTATTAAATTAGGTTTTGGACTTCACTCAGAAGTTTTGATTCAAATGGATGTTTTTGATTGAGCATAGAACATGATATCCACTTATATTACAAGTTTTACAAGAGTCGATTTTTACATGAAAACAGAATTTCCTAGCTAAAAATGCTAGTTGTGACACATCCGGACCGACATCACCTTAACCTTCTTCGTACGTCTCTTCACCAGGTGATTTAAATCAGTGAAAGTTGAAAGCTTCAAGTAAACAAATCCCTTGCATCTCTAAGGACAATATCCACACCCCAACCGATTCCCTCCCATCCCCACCCTTTTCTTCCATAACTTCTATCCACTCCAACAAATCTAAAAAATTGAACCCATCCCATTTTCCTCTGGCAAGCACCACTTTTCAATCAAATTAAAATTTCCCAAAAACTAAATCATTAGAAAGGAAATAGAAAAATCAATCAAATTGAAATTACAAATGAATCATACTGCAGACTAGAGAAGAAAGCATCAAAATCAATCAAATTATAAAAGTGCTTATCGAGATCTAATTTAAGGTTATAAGAAGATACGGATAAGAGAGTTAAGGAGAGGAAATAATCATTGGGTTCGACGTTTGTATTCATTCTCGTTAACCAGAGAAAAAAATGGTGGTGGGTGCGACAATTAGAGCAGCGAAGTAGATGCGTTTTATGGAAAGATCTATAATGGTGGTTGTTAAAGATGACGATGGTTGTTAAAAGCGGTGTGACCTAAGGAGATGAGCAGTAGGTTCACCGAAGTATATGTCGGCAATGATCTAAGGAGTAGTTTAGTTTTTCTTTTGAATTTCTTTCATTACAGATTATAAAGCATCAGAGGACAGAGATGAACAACAATATCACGTGAATGGTATTAAGGAGCGGTGAGATGGACATAGATGAACATCAATATCACGTGAAGGGTATTAAGGAATGGTGAGATGGCTGGGAACTCTAAAGTGCAGCCTATTTGCACTTTTTAATAAATATAAATATTTTAATAAACTAAATTGCAATAAAAAATAAATTAATAAGGGTAAAATAGTCTTTTTAAGTATAATAGGGACCAACGATGCAACGAAAACATACTATAAGAATGATCTGAATTAAAAAAAATTAAAGACCAAATACGCAAATTATCCAAACCACAGGGACATTCATATAATTTACTTAAAAACAAGGGAATATAACTTATTAAGGTAATTAACTTTTCGGTATGTTCACATCTGGGTAACTATCTTTTTTTTTGTACACATCTACATCTAGGTAACAAACTTGTTGGAAGTGTTCACATATGACCATTATGACCTGCTATAGCAGGTTAAATCCTAGATGTGAACGCTTTCAACAAGTTCATTACCTAGATGTGTACAAAAAAATAGTTACCTAAATATGAACAAACCGAAAAGTAAAAATTAAATTACACGAATGGTCCCATTGGTTGGGGGAATTTGTGTTTTTGTCCCTAACTTATTTTTTTAACTTAGATGGTCCCTACTGTTTATTTTTGTTGCGCGTTTGGTCCCTGTCTTACCTAAAAAGACTATTGTGCCCTTATTAATTTTATTATTTATGCATTTATTTTTTACATATTTAAAAAAATTAATAGACCCCACATATTTGTATCTCCTCGGATGAGCCCTACTGTTTATTTTTTAATTAATTTATTTTTTTAACTTGGATGGTCCCTATTGTTTATTTTTGTTACGCATTTGGTCCCTGTCTTACCTAAAAAGATTATCAAACGGCCCCTAAGATTACCTAAAAGTAAAATTTAAATTACACGAATGATATGTGGGGTATATTAATTTTTTAAATATATAAAAAATAAATACATAAATAAGAAAATTAATTAATAAATAAATTAATAAGGGCAAAATAGTCTTTTAGGTAAGACAGAGAGCAAACGCACAACAAAAATAAACAGTAGGGACCATCCAAGTTAAAAAAATAAGTTAGGGACAAAAACACAAATTCCCCCAAACCACAGGGACCATTCGTGTAATTTAATTTTTACTTTTCGTTTTGTTCATATTTGGGTAACTATTTTTTTTGTACACATCTAGGTAACGAACTTGTTGAAAGCGTTCACATCTAGGATTTTACCTGTTATAGCAGGTCATGGTCATATGTGAATACTTCCAACAAGTTTGTTACCTAGATGTGTAAAAAAAAATAGTTACCCAGATGTGAATATACCGAAAAGTTAATTACCGTAATAAGTCATATTCCCTAAAAACAATTCATGTGTCAACAATCAAGGACTTTTTGGAAAGGACCCCATGGAAAGAACATTACAACAAAAGAAAATCAGTTGCACTAATAATTTACACTCATCTTTCCATGCTCTTTTCTATTAGTAGCTTACCAACAAAACCCTCCTTCTCGTTCCCCCAAAATTCACAACAATGGTGACCTCTTGCATAAGCTTCGTCTCCTTGTACGGCTCCTTCCTCCGACGTTCCCTCGCTCTCTCAGGCCTCTCCTCTCAATCCGTGGGTGTCGATGCCTACACCACCATCCACTTTTGGGGACCTAAACGACTCCCCGCGTCCGCCCGTTCTCCATCTTCAAATGGCGAGCATCGGAAACCATCGCTCGTTTTAATTCACGGATTCGGTCCTCACGGCGTTTGGCAGTGGCGCCAACAGGTCAGTGTTCCCGACGAATCGATAAAATTCCGTTTGTATTCATTGATTTTCCGTCATTTTACACACAGGTGTCGTTTCTCGCGCCTTATTTCGACGTCTACGTCCCCGATCTAGTGTTCTTCGGTGAATCCACCACGAAATCCTCCGAACGATCGGAAATCTTCCAGGCGAGTGCCGTAGGGAAGATGATGGAGAAGGTCGGAGTGAGTAAGTACTCGGTGGTTGGGACGAGCTACGGAGGTTTTGTGGCGTACAGAGTGGCGGAGATGTGGCCGGAGAGGGTGGAAAAGGTTGTGATCGCAAGTTCAGGAGTGAACATGAGGCCAAGAGATAATCATGAGTTACTGAAGAGAGCGAACGTGGAGAAGATCGATGAGCTAATGCTGCCGGAGACGGCGGCGCAGCTCCGGACGTTGTTCCGATTAGCTGTATCCAATCGTGTTTACATGCCGGATTTTTTTCTCAACGATTTCATTGACGTAAGTGTTATTTCTATTTCTATTCTTTTGAATATTTTTTGTCCTTTTCATGCCTAACCCCACCTTCCAATCTTCCATATATCGGCTCTAGATTATTAATTAGATGCTTCCTTCACTTATTTTATCAATTGATTAATCACAATTAAATAATTGTGCTATTCTTTTTTATCCAAACCAAAGAAACAACATACCACATGGACGATTTTGTAGTTTTAAATTGGGGGTATAATGGTCATTTTCAAAATGTTTAACAGATTGACTAACGGCGTCGAGTGATGGAGCAACTAATCACAACAAAATTCTTCTAGATTGAACAAAAAATGTAAAGAACATCTTTTTTTTTTAAAATACCATAAAACTCAATTTTTACAGTATACTCTAGTAATTTTTTTAAAAAAAAATTGATTATAGTCCAAAAATTTTATTAATTTTACTTTTTTGAACTAGATAAATCATATTATTTTTTCTGTTTAGAAATGTAATATTGTTTTTTTAGTAAATTTGACAAATAACATTCCACTTATCACTCTAATCCCAAAGAAAATATCAAACTTCGGCATTTATATTAGGAGTTTGTTGGGAACTTTTTTCGAAACAAACTTTTTAAAAATAAAACTTGTTAGTTAGTCTTTTTTAACCAATTATAAGAAATTTATGCATACAACAATAAAGTGATAAAAACAAAACTAAAATGTCTTATAAATTGAAAAGGAAAATGATATAAAAGAATTATTTATAAAAAAAAATATCTTTTATATGCTATTTTATGTCTTTTTATATAGTTCAACTACCTTATCAGCCAGTTTTTATCAAACGCCAGTTTTTATCGGCTAGCAACTAGTTTTTCAATTATCAGCTATCAGCTAGATTTTCAACCAGTCTGTTAAACATAGACTATGAACATAAAATGAACTTTTTCAATTTAAGTTTTTTTCTTATGATTTGTTTATGATATCACCTAAAACATACACAATATGTTTCATGATGAAGTTATATACATTTAGTGTAATATAAAGAGTTTGAGGTCTAATCTAATACTTGAATATTGTCCATTGTGTTTAAGAATTATTAAGAAAATATATTAATTAATTTTTTTATTGGTTGCAGAAATTATATGGAGAAAACAGGAAAGAGAAGTTAGAATTGCTGAAAGGGCTGGTGCTTGGCCAACATGACACCCCTAACATTTCCCCTCTTCAACAGGTTCTATAATCTTATATTAAAAAGATTTAAAAATATAATAACATATTAAAAAATAAAGTAATTTTAAGTCAATGCATCTACTATCTATAATCTTATCATAAAAAATCGTTAGAAATTACGTTTTTGGTCCTTGAGATATTTGATTTTTCTAGTTTTTGTCGTAAAAAGTTTTTACTTGCAATTTTGTAACCATGTTAATACAACATTTTTTTATTCTAATTACAAACAAAATAACTATTTTGGTTATTTTACATGGAACAATGACCAAAAGTCGTTACAAGAAACTCAAGTTAGGACCAATTTTGCAAGAGATATGTTTGGGATCAAAATTGCAAAAAAATTAGTTATATACTCGAAGGAACAAACTTGTATTAAATTTAAATAATTTTATTATGTTTCTCCTATTGTTTGCATTAATATATTTAAACTTTCTAAATCTAGGAAGTGTTGCTCATATGGGGTGATCAGGATAACATCTTCTTGTTGGATATGGCAAAGGAGCTTAAAGAGTATGCCTTCATATCATATTTCTTATGACACGTCATATTATAAAATATAAATTTTGACTTAATTTGGATTAAAAGTAGGTAAAATATACGACACGTGTTAGAAACATAACCTCTATATTAATTTTATGCCTATAAAAATCCTTTCATTATCGATCCGATTTTTTCACTAATGAAAAACTTTAAATGATCATAAAGTTAATAGAAGAATATATTCAATAATCGGGAGGGTTTTCTCTATGGTTGAAATTATGAACGAGTTTTAATAGACCAAAAACTAATATATATATATATATATTTTTTTCGATAATTGGCCTAATAAAAAGTTGTACTTTTTATGACAATATATTCCAAATGATGTTTATACATTTTTATAAGAAAGATTTATGTGTTGGGGAGTATTTGAAAGGTGGCATTTGTTGTTGTGTTTTAGAATGTTGGGAAAGAATGCATCATTGGAAGTGATAAAGAAGGCTTCACATGCACCTCAACTTGAAAACGCCAAAAGCTTCAATAAAATTCTCTACAATTTCTTGTGCGACTCCACATGATTTTACACACACACAAACACATACTTGTTGAATGAATTTGGTTTGAAACATTGGTTTCATATCTAGATTCATTGCTTCTTTTAGGGGTTGTTACAATCTCAATTCTCAACTATCAATTTTCTTGATTTTGCAAATGAGTGGCATTATATTAGTCTTCAAGAATCCTTGGATTTGAGGATTACAAACTATGCATTTAGTTTTTTAGTATTAGTTTTGTATTAGTTTTGTATATATGAAGATATTATCAATGTTTTGAAATAGGATTAAACAAAATAAAAATAAATAAATAAATAATCATTATCTATATGTTTAGTACATGCCATCACATGGGAATGCGTCTCCCATTATATGAAGGTGTCATTACTTGAGTTGTGTACTAATAATACTATGGTGGTCCAAACATATATTGTAATAATTAAAAAGATTGCTTTTGAATTTATTAGAGTTTTTAGTAAAATTATTTGTTACATTTGAGTCAAAATAAAAAAACAAATATCAATTAACAAGGTTTGAACTTACAAACAAATAATCAAACCAACTAACAACCTAAAAACATGTGTATATAAATAGTAACATCTAACCTTTAGTTCCAAAGGAAACTAAAAAGGAATTTTATATAAACTTAGTAAAATAAATTGTGAGGATTTACACTTAAAAGTAGGCCTGACCCTGAGGAGGGTTCGAGGTGTGCAATTATACAGGTCCTCGAAAAAATTAGGACCGGAAATTTTACTAAATTATAGTGTTAATAGTTAATATAGATCAGTTTAATTAAAATAATTTTGAATATGATTTGTAGTTCAGTCGGAGAAAAACAATGTTTTTCCACCTTTCCTTCCAAATGATCTTTGTCCGATTCTTTTTTTACACATTTCTCTGTTTATTTATTAATCAGTTTATCATTAACATATAAATAATTTACGTCAAAATTTTCAAAATCCTCTTGTCGTTCAGTTGGCATTTGCCTCACCTTTGCCTACTCCTTTCAAATTATTGACAAAACTTCGACATTTGCTTTCCCCACTGTTTCTTTGTTTCTTTTAATAATCATTTATCTATATACTAGGTTACAACCCATGGAAACCACGAATAAAAAAATAGTTTTATTTTCCTTTTGACATGTGTCATTTTATTATACATCTTAATTGATGCATATTTTATTCTTCTTTTTCCATTTCTCACCATATTATGTCAACTAATTAATACTTGTCACTTGTCCGCCTATTGATTATTCATTTCAAATTTTAAAATTTAAATTTCTCACTCAATCTACATTAAATTAATAGCATTAAAATAAAAATTAAAATAAAATTAATACAAATTATAAAGTGATATAATTTCATATATTTATTTAAATCAATGATTATAATTTTATATAACTAAAAAAATCTCTTAATTAATAATTTATTTAAAAAAATTGATTAATAACTTTGAAATTTTACAATAAATGTTTAATTAATTTTGTAACTGTGGTTCCCACAGGTTATAAACTAGTTATTAATAAGAGTTAAGTTTTTCAAAACTTTTTGTATTGATTATTTAAAATTAATATATATTTATTTGAATATCCGATATACATTATGTATATGTAGACATCAAATATAATTATGATTTATAAAACATAATATAAATTTGAGTAGATTGTAAATGATTTATAAAACAAAATATAAATTTGAATAGAGTTTAAAGAGAAACACAATGAATAATATAAATGACATTGATATATAAAAAATATAATATAATAGAAATGTAATAAAAAAACACAATAGTTTGACTTTAAAAACTACGAATCGTTTATAAATTTCTAAAAACTTCCTTATACACAACATTGGAAGTTTTGTTTGTAAGTCTACCATCCTTATCTAAAATTAACAATTTCAATCATTCTCTACTTTGAACTCTAGATAAAGCAATATACAAATGTCCCTGTGAAAGAACAGGATCTTTGAGATACTGACCAACCTTCGATAACGACTGCCCTGACTTTGATTAATTGTAGTTGCAAAACATACAGTCAATGGAAATTGTCTTCTTTGAAATTTGAAGAGATTTTTTTTTCAGAATGACTTAAAGACATTCTTAGAATAAAAGTTCGATTTCTAATATTACTTCCAGATATGATAACTGCCTCAATAACACGTTTGCCCAGAGATTTGATTTGTAGTCTAGTGTCGTTACATAAGCCATTTTTCTGATCAATGTTTCTCAGTAAGTAACATAACTGGGACACCGATCTTTAAAATTAACTTGTGATTTGGCAAACCTGATACTTTAAGACCATTTAAAACATCTGGGGAGTATAAATTGGCATCAAACTGATCATAAACAAACTCAGATTGGCAGATACTATCTGAACTTAAATATTCTACTTCGCCTCCGGGAAACAATGATAACAAACAATCATTTAATTGTTGGACAACTTCATTTTTTGGAGCAAGTATTGCTCTTTCTTGAAAATAACCTATAACGTTGAAGTTTTCCAAAATTGAAGGATATACAAAATCAATTAATGAACCTATAGGATCATGTGGATCATTGATGAGAATATCATCTAGAACATCAATAATTGATTCACCATCGTTCGAACCACCAACTTTTCCTTCTCCTATGTACAAAAGCCAATTTGCAAAATCCTTTATTTCTAGAATATTAGATGGATCCCTTCCAACAATTAGCCTCATGTTTATTGTTAATCTATGAACTTTGCATTGTTGTCATATATATGAAGAACTTAAAGAAGCATTAACGATGTTTTGTCTACTACCTCCTTGAACAACAGGTAGAATTAGTTTGAAGTCTCCTCCAAAAACAATCGCTTTCCCTCCAAATGGAATATTTGAGTTGCTAGACTTGTCAAACTTACATACATCTTTCAAAGTTCGATCTAAAGCTTCAAATGCATACTTGTAGACCATAGGTGCTTCATCCCAAATAATCAATGAGCTTTTTCTTACTAATCTGTAACGCCCGTAGATCCGGGCTAGTCAATTTAGAGGCAATGAGTGTCGAAAATGAATTTTCGGCAAAAGATTATTTATAATAAATAATCTTAACCAAGTTGTAGAATATTTCTCAAGGTTTCCGTACATATAAAGAACTCTGAAATCCGAGTTATAACGAAGAAGTTATGGCCCGTCGAAGTTTTACGGCAAAACCGGCACGGCACCGGGAAGCGTAAATAGTGAATTTACGATGGAGCGACTTTTAGCCTTAGTGATCTAAACAAAAGTCGTAGAAAACGTTAAGCCGAGAGCGTCCATAAAAAGAAACGCCCAAATCTGACTTCGTATGAGGAAGTTATGATTTTTCGAAGTTTCGACTTAGTAGTGTACAGCCCGAAACTCGAATTTTAGTTCGAGCGGTTTTTGGCTTACGAGGTCTAAATGAGAGTTGAAGATCTCATTAATAGGAACTCAACGGTAAAAAGACAGACAAAAACGGAGCTCGTATGCGAAAGTTATGGACGAAGCTTAGTCTCTACTTTTCAAGCGCGGCGAATTCGATACAGTTTCGTATGCGAAAGTTATCGTCATTATACACCAAACGTCTATAGATCGAATGGCTAGAACCCGAAGCGGAGTCGTGAACGCAAACGGAAATGGGAATCAACAGCCCCCGATGATTGAGCAAATACATGTTGTAATGGGAGCTGCGCCTGAGCCAGTCACCATGGCTGGAGTACAAGCCATGATTCGGGCTATGTTAGCTGAACAAAGGGAGGAAATGAGACAGATGTTGCATGAAAATAGGGACGAACCTACCATGCCCATCGAGCAAACCAAGCCGATTCCCGAGCAATCGGAGGAAGGGAACTATAGCCGCCAAGTGAGTCAAGTAGGGACTCAAGGTGAACAAAGGGATGACCCGGAGAGGGGAAACGACAAGGATGGGCGAAGGTATAAGAACTTCTTGAGTGCAAAACCACCAAGTCTTTCCGGAAGCCCGAAGCCGGTTGAGATTATGGACTGGATCTCCGAGATGGAGATGGTGTTTGAGAATTGCGACTGTAGCAACAAGCAGAAAACCGTCTTTGCGGTCAGCCAACTGAAGAGCGGAGTCTTGAGCTGGTGGAAGATATTGGCAGATACGATGCCTAAGGGAGAAGCAAGTAAGATGTCTTGGGAAGATTTCCTGGTGCAACTGAAAATGCAGTACTGCTCTGAGCAGGATCTACTAGAGATCAACAATGAGTTTCAGAACCTAAAGAAAGGAAAAATGAGCATCACCGAGTACGCTGCAAGTTTTACGGAGAAGATGAAGCTTGTTCCTTATTTAGTTCCAACAGAACTTTCCAAGGTCAACAGGTTTGCCAATGGATTACCAGCGGACTTTGGTCCAATGGTCAAACAAGCAACCACTTTGAAAGCCGCCATCTAGGCAGCCAAGAATGTTGAGACCCAAATAAGAGAAAAGGGTCTGGAGAAAGTTGAAGTTGGCGAGAAGAGGAAGCTGGAAGGATCCTCAAGACCTGATAATAAGGGAAAGTTCTCGAAGTCTAACCTGGACGACCGAAGGAATGGAGCCAAGTGGTGTGGGAAGTGCAAGAAGAAGCACTTCGGAAGATGCGATGGAGAAGTGACGTGCTATAAGTGTGGTAGGACCGTTCACTATTCCAGAGATTGTACATTCGACAACAAGAAGTGCTACGAATGTGGAAATGATGGTCATATTTCAAAGAACTGTCCAAAGAAAAACAAAGCTGCAAGACCAAATGCACCGCCGAAACCAAGGGCATTCCACATGATCCTCGATGAAGCAGACAACAACGCGAGGAATCAAGAATGAGGACTTCTTACCCGAAGATCGGATTATGCAGTAGCCATAGTTTCGTATGATGTAGCCTAGTAGAGGCATAGTCTAGGGTGAACTTGAACACCTATGTAATCGTTTCAAGAAATAATATAAAACCTTCGTTTTGTTATCTGATGTGTTAAGTTATTGTGTGGTTTTCTTGTATGATGACTTGGAAAAACTGCAAGACAATACTTGGGACGAGTATGAGTAGGTGTGAATGGTAGTAGAGGCCTATACTACCGGAAGCACAGGACTCACGCTTGGATCAGGGAAAGTCACAAGGTTACCAAGAAGCTAGTAATTGATTTCGTTTTATTCGAGTATGTCGTTACCATCGAAGATGATTGTTATTCCGACCCTAGTGGTCATATCAAATTGAGTTCGACTACGATAAGT